GAAGGGACCTCGAGAGATCATCAAGGCTGTGTCTAGACTGTAAATGAAGCACTTCGAAAGTGCAAATGAAGTGGGGATTTAAATAGCCCATGCTTCATTTGTGTAATTGCTTCCCGGCGGTCTTTCGAAAGTGAAACCGCAGTCTAGACACGGTTCTTTTTTTTTTTTTAAAAAAAACACCCTTTTTTGAAAGATCCCGTACTCCTGAAAAAATGAGGAGTACGGGATCTTTCAAAAAACTGTGGGGTTTTTTTTAAAGAACCGTGTCTAGACTGTGGTTTCACTTTCGAAATACCCTTTTTCGAAAGACCGCTGGGATGCAATTATGCAAATGAAGCATGGGACATTTAAATCCCCACTTCATTTGCACTTTCGATCAGGCTCATTTACATCCCTCTTTCGAAAGAGGGATGTAGTCTAGACGAACCCTAAGTCCAGCCCCCTGCCCCCACAGCAGAATCAAGCACCGCCTAGAATATCATCCCTAGACCATTATAAACTATGTCTAACACTAACTGTGGGATTTTGGTGAACATGTGATTGAAATCTGTGTTTCAAACAACACAATAAACAAAATGTATTTGAGCATATCCTCACTTCATGGCTTGGTATGAAAAAGGCTCCTCGACAACTATTTCCGGCCACAAACTAATCCTGTGTAAATTCCCTGATTGAAAATCCAAACGACTAGATTCAAGAAGGAACAGATTTTCAACCTAGTTTATGTCATTAGCAACTTTTTTTTTAGCAAGCACAACAAAAATAAATGTGTCTTTCACAGTTACAAGATGAAATTTTCAGTTGGCCAGATACTAGAGAACTAATTTTCCACTTTTTGTTGTTGTTGTCATAGACCATAAAATATTCTCAGATCGAAGGAATTGTATGTGCTAACCTGCAACAAAGACAACAGTTGGCAACTCCTCTTTCCTTCAAAAGTTTCTCATTGAATTTAAATGAAAGGTTTTACTTGCTAGAGAATGTTTCTGGTTAGGAGCAGGGCAGGAAAGTTCTATATAGATGAAGCTTTCCAATCTACTATTTTCAAGACCCAATTGGAAAATAAAAGTAACTGCAGCCTTCCGTTTAGAAAGTTTGAAAGAAAGAAAAGAATCTGTAGACATTATTTTAAAAGTTAGTAGCTAGCCAAGTAACTCAGAGAGCAAGACAGTCTGGTGTTTAAAACACTGGAGTGACACTCCGGAAATCGGAGTTCATTTCCCAACCTTGGTCATTGATCTTGGGCCATTCACTTTGTCTAGACCTCACAGTTCATCATCTGTAAAATGGGAACAACATTTCTTTTTACACACCCTATCTATCTATCTTGTCTGCTTGCACCCAAAAAACTGCAAAAACTTATAGACGCACTTAACGTTAAGCATGTGAGTGGACAACCTGCATTCAGATTCTGTTTACAGAATCAGGCAATCTAAGTGCTTAGGAGTAGGGATTATCGCTTATTAAGTGCATATGCAGCACCTCGCAAAACATAGTTGGGATCTTTGTTGGGATTTGTAACTGCTACTGGAATACAATAGTAAGAACAATAAACTACATTTTCCAGATCCTTATTATCTATAACGGATTACCACACAACTTTAGAGAAGTGATTTGATAAATAATTTTAAAATAACCCCTCCTTGTCATGCACCATCCAAACTCGTGACATAAGTGTCTCATTTAAAAAAAAAATCGGAAAATATCAGATCCAAGACACGTGCTACATTTTAAGTGTTACTAAATCCCTAATATTATTAAACATTATTGGTAACATAAAAGATTAATGCAAAAGATAATACTGTCAGCACAAGCCTAAGTAAGAATCCAGCCTTGGAAAGATACAAGGTGGACTCCTGTGCACTGGTTGAAGCCCCAATAAATCAATGTGAAGTGAAACTGACTCCATTGATTTTAAAGCATCCAAAAAATGTAAAAATAAACTATCTGTGTAAAAATTATCAATAATAAGGATAAAGGCATACATTTCTTTGTAATGGGATTTTTTAAATTGACAGCATCCCTTTAAGTAGTTGACTTTAAATATTAAACTCTGAGAAGGTGAAGAATATGCTCATAATAAGTCCTGATCTTGTAATCAGAACCCCTCTGGGATCAACACAGGCACTGGAGTTTGTGTGAACCAGTACCACTGTAGGTGTTACACATTTTTTGGTTTAAATCCAAACCCACTACATTCCACACAAGCTACTATTTATTGGTGTCGGTGTCATCAGAAATACTTGTTTATGAAAGAGAGGTAATATGTTATAAGTTAAACTAATTCTTGTATCTGAACAATTCATTCATTTTTTTGCCTGTCTGGAGTCCTTCTCCCTACCTAGGGATCATGTACTGAGGGCCCAACTCCCATGGACTTCAATGGAAGCAGATCTGCCTCAAACAATTAGGCATGGAGCAAATACATTTTAGTACAGACCTTTGCATTTATTCAGGGTAAAGAAAAAACAAAGCCCTGGCATTTCTCTTGTTCCTTATTTGAAGACAGAGAATCTCCAAGTTCCTCCATAATTGTATGGATTTGTCACTTCTCAGCTCTACAAAATAAAACTTCATAAAACGCTAACTCCACTTTCAAAGCACCAGACATTTACTCATAACCCAACTCTGAAGGAAGCTAGTAAGCATTCCTATTTTACACATAGGGAAATTGAGACAAGGGATAACATGGTGGAGGCAGCAACTGGTTACTCATGCTCTTCGTAGTGCTGAGCCAATGAGATTTCATCCCTAGCTAACAAAATTATAATAGATTGTATAGCGATAGATGCTTTAAAAATATCCAACAGACTTAGCCATTTACTTGGTCAGTTTTGGGAGAGATGGACAACTTCGTCTATATAGGATTTTTGTAAAATCCTCCCACGGTTCTTCTGAAAACTGTGCAGTTTCATCCATGGTAACACTACTATAAAACAGCTAGTGGGCTACGCACTACAGCTGTGCAGACCTGCTCTGCTCTCCATTAAGTGACATAATAGTAAAAATGTTGATGCCTATTTGGTGCCAGCCTGGCAGGATGAAACAAATTCCTTGTTCTTAGTCCTGTACTCTGCCCACTACTAGGGATGTGAATGGGTAACCAGTTACCCAGTATCTGGGAGCAGCCTCCCCCCACCTGTAGGTACCTCTGTGTGGGAAAGGGGGCCAAGAGCAAGCAGCAGCAGCTGTGGGGGCAGGCTGGAGCGGTCCCCCACTGGGATCCTGTGCTTAATCAGTTAACCTTTTAAACCTAGTGTTTAAGTAGTTAACTGATTAACCAGGTTTTACATCCCTACCCACTAAACAATTGTGTCAACCCTACAAAATGTCTGTGCATGTCATATGGAGTTAAAGATGAAGAATCTTTGCATAAGAGAAAATGTCCAGTGTTTCCAAATGCAAGCAGCACATCAATTTATAGACAGATGGAGTATAAACCTGCCACCTCAGAGATTCCAGAACTCCTAGAACAGAGAGATGGCAAATAATTTTCATAACCAAAGACAAAGTCTGTCTGAAGCTAAAGAAGTTCCAATCATGTGTATGTAATGTGCTGCCTGTCCCCAATCATTTCCTTAAAGATTTAGCTCAGAAATGCAGCAAAGGAGGGTCAAAAAACCTCAAACAAATGAAGTTTACAGCCTGCTGTTGCAGAACTGTCCCCTAAGATAATTGTACAACAATGGAAGGGGAAAAAATAAACATGTTATTGTGATGAATTCACATAGACCCACTATCCGCTACTCCAGGCATCCCCATTGGCATGCCTGCGGTAAACAAATATAGATGCAGTTTCTACTAATGAGGCAGGGAACAGTGAGGCCAAGGAAAATGCAATCATCTCAAAGGAAAAAAACAATCGCACAGGACTCCTCCTCTCCCATCCATAGAGGAAATCAGATGCCAGCTGCACCATCCTAGGAAGGAAGCAGAGAGGCTTCTGCACCTGATGAGCCCTGCAGAAATGAGCTAGTGGTATCACGGGATCCAGACAGGCGCTCCGGGATTTTAGCAAGATGAGCTGACTGCCTAGCACAAGCCGTTTATACAACACAACTTTATTTCGGGTGGCATCATTCATGCAAATTGCATCTCCTTTATGAGTTCAATCTATCTAGTCCCTCTGATTATTGAGCCAAGAGCACACAGCCAGTACCTAACAGACTTACTTTTCCCAACTCAATGTCCTGGGCCATTACATTTAACATCCTCCACTTTCAGTCCACATGCATTCAGCACTTGAAGACACTTCTCTCTGTGTTGCCAGTGTTACTTGAGCTCCAGAATAAACTGAGTCGATAGGACTTCACAGACAGGGAAGTGGGAATATGTTTCATACTTCCTCTTCCCCTCCAACCCCAAAAGGCACAGCAAATGCTGCACAATGCCTCAAATGTTGCTGGAGTCATGCCAGCAAAAATTACCACTCTTCAACCAAGATAAACATCATATTACTTCATTACCCTTTTAAAACATATGATCAAAAGATTTTTCAGGGCTAATGCAAAAATTGTTTCCAAAGAAAATACCCTGCAGACACATTTAGAGGCACTTTTAACCACTCCTTCCTATACACCAAAACTCACCACCCAAAACTGAGGTGCAAGAGCCCAACTCAGTTCACCTTGCTGTATGTATACTTACACCTCAAAAAAACCCATCCTGCTCATTTTTTAACTCCACAGAAAAGCAAAAAATAAAAACAGAATGTAACAGCCTAACAGAATTCTCTGCCACCTTCTCCAGCCATCATCTTTTTAGGCACTTTCCGGGCATTCAAAGCAATGTCTCAGATACAAAATATAAATATTATTTTAACACCTTCCCCCCACCTCAAAACCTGAGCCTCATTTTAAAAGTAAAACCAAAATAAAAACCTCATCCATGCTCATCTCCCGTACATTCAAGGAGCCACCCTCTTATGTCCACTCCATCCCCCCCCACCCCGCCCTCCAGTGTTGAACACATCAGCTACAACATCCCCTTAGGATTCTCACCTATCTCTTCCTCATGATGCATGCTCTTGCTTCTGTATCAAGCAGATTTGTTTTGGTAGTAAGCTATCACTAGTGTCTTGGACATACAACCACAAAAGCACTGTGCCATCCCCCTACATCCACCCACACTCATCCGACCCTACCAACACAGTGTCTCTTCTCTTAACAAGGACCCTCCCTCTCCCAAGTTCTTTCATAGGCATATTATTTGTTTCAAAGGTACCCTCCCTGTCCTCCTCATAGGCCAGTATAAAATTCCTCCGCGAAAAACACCAACCTCCTCTTCTTTCACCTTAAGTCAGTCATGCCACACACATTGTGTGTCTCAAGAATAGAATCTAGGTATTAATAGTGCACTCATCACCATAATGTCCCAACAGTGGGCAAGGTGCCTTCCTTCTTTCCTAATTCACCCCACCCACCTAGTCCTGTGTTCAACTCCCTGCAAAACTACAACAGCCTGCAGAATAGCCCAACACACCCT